AAAGATTACTAACTAATGTTTACTAATGCTAGATTTGTAAGCTATTACTAATGACTTATTATGATTAATAAGCTATATTTATTTATAAGCAAAGATTTGTAATCAAAGATTGTTAATATAATATGATGAGAATTCGATTGATAATATGGTTGCCAATTTTGGCAATTATAGGATCTTCCGATTTTGCCGATTTTGGTAATCGTAGGATTCGCAAAGTGTGACATTCGCTATGTGTGACGGGCGTGATCGAGAAATGTGCCGGGTGAGATAACATGTACGCCGGATGCTGTGCTATAGCCCGGTATCATGTACCGTAAGGTCATTTTCAAGGCAAAGACCCCATATGGTCGGCTGTTCAATCACGTGGTACCGCCGATTTAAATACATATATATATAATATATTAGATGACCAAACAAATGACCTGGGGTCATTTGTTCATTTAGAATTAAATGACCGGTCATTTCCCAACACTGATATATAGTGATGGGATCATATTTAGACCCGCGGGTAGTCTGTAAGAATCTATCTATAGACCTACCGGGCTAAAATGTCGAGTTTGGCCTTAAGGTAAGAGTAAGGGCTTAAAAGTTAACAGTTAATCACTACCCGGCCCACACGGAGTCCTACTTGCACTAATTTGCAAATTTATTGGTCATAAGATTTACTTTGAGTAAATAAAGAGAATTGATATTAATACCGCCCCGTAAATTAAAGTTTTCTAAATTTTGAACAGATATCTCGACATTATTAGGCTGAATTTAATCACTTTTTTTTTTATTCGGATTCTAAAAATCTGTAGAATTCAAATAAAAAAGTTTATTGTTTTTTAGTTTAGGTGGTCTTATTAATAAAATTAATCGATTGATTTTAGAGTGGGTCATCTATGCCAAAAGGGATCTAATTTGGTCTGGTTGTTACCGAGATATTTTCTCTCAAAGTTTAGAAAGTTAAGAAGCGGCTTCTTCGATAGATATTTTAAGATATTTCGATTCAAAATCAAAAAACTTTTTCTGTTTGAATTCTACAGATTCGTAAATTCAATAAGAAAAAATTCTATGAATTTGGCCTAGTGGATGTTGAGATATCTTCGCTCAATGTTTGAAAAAATTTAGACAATGCTTCTATTTTTGATGGTTGTTTCTAAGTAATTTTTTTTTAGACTTTAAATTAAAATATCTCAACAACTATTAAACCAAACTTGATAAAAATTTTTGCTATTTAGTTATAGAATTAAAAAAAAAAAAAAAAATTTATCAAGTTTGGTTTAATAGTTGTTTAGATATTTAAATTTTAAAGTTTTAAAAAAACTGGTTTCTAGGGTATGAATATCAAATCGAGGGAAAATTTACTAGAGTTATCGTTATTCGTATTTTTACATGACCTTAATTATGCGAATCTGGTAGATCGTTATTCAACAAACGCTTATTCGAGCACCCACAAAAATTGTTCCCCCTGTAATTTTTACTGAGAATAGTTTGGTTTAGGGTTAGGACAATAGAGTCCCTACTAATAAAATTTCACGAGGAACATTTTTAATTAGACCGCAGAAGGTGGTTTCTTAATTAAAATTTCGAGTTTTTGTAAAAAATGGCTTCGCCTCGATTGTTTACGTTACACCTTATCTTGAAATTTGATTGGTTAAAATCAAGGAGGAACAATTTTTGTGAGGGGGTTCGCTAATTCTTAAAAAAAAATGAAGTAATCTAGGAAAATGTTAGAAATTTATGACGTTATTAATCAAGTTCGAGGCTTATATAATTGGGGCTAAATTAATTTTTTGGTGAACTATTTTGGAAAGACATTTTCCTAGACCACCTCATTATATAGTTAATGCATGCGAAGCATGCATTAACGGTTTTATCTATGTTTTACTATTTTAGCCTATAAAATGAGATCGATGATTTATTTTATAGGCTAATCATAATAAAGTATTGAATAAATATATTATATATATATATATATATATATATACTTTTTTTTTAAAAAAAAAAAAAGCCTATCGAATTCTATATTTTTTAGTTTAATGTGTATCGATGTAGCCACTAATTTTTTTTTTTTCACTTGTCCGTTTTTGAACTATTCTTCTGTATTGCCATTTTATGCACGATTATGCTCTATTAATTATGCGAAATTAGCCCTGATATGCAAATACGCTTATGCTATCGCGATAAAATCAGATTTATGTTATCGCAGAGCTCTATTAGTTCATGGCCATAAAATTCGGATTCAAGATTCTGGTCCGAGCCATTTGAGTCCGATCTTTATTAGTAACCTGTAGCCGAACCGTTAAACGGCTGTTTAGCTCACGGATCGGCTCAAGCCGTTTGCACCACTCAGATACGTTAATATATGCTGTAAATATCGGGTAATCCCGTGATATATTTCCGCCGCGCGCGTACCTCTTACCGAGAAGTCAAAATTAACTCCATTTTTATACGTACACAAATTAAATTAAGGCACCCTGCATAGTATCCTTATCGGATACTCTATTATGGGAAATTTTTTGTATATAACCTGTAAATTTTCAAAATTTTGTAAATACTGTGATCTCTTTTAAAATTTTTTTTTACAATGTGTGACCATACAGAAAATTCATGTAATGAAATTTTAGACATTAATAATAGTAGCGAACAAAGTGGGTTTAAATTTTCATTGGACTCTATAGCAATTAAGCCTCCTTCTCCTTCTCCTGTAAGTTCACCGTTAACTACTTCAAATTTAAAATTTGCTTCGCAAAGCGATTTGGGAAGACTTTTTGCTCTTCAAGGAAATGGGGGAGTTACTTCTGAAAGTGGTACCTCATCCCCTTCAGGTGGTGGCCCTGAACAAATAGAACATTCACAACAATTTCTTCATAAAATATCTCGTCCAATACCTCCTTCTTTAAATACCAATTTTTCACAATTTTTAATGTCACATAATGGTAGTAATTTTTCTTCACCTCCATATCAATCAGATAGTATTGATGATGGTTCTGGCCATCGACGAAGAGATAGCAATGTTTCAACAATGTCTATACAACTGCATGATGTAGTACCTGGTCATCAACGACGTGATAGTAATGTATCTAGTATGTCAATGCAATTAGATACACCTACACCTTCTAGTGGAACAGAATCTGGTAATGAGGATGAGAGTAAATCAGCATCTTTTCCTTTTACATTTTCGCAAAAACCATTAACCTTATCCAGACCAAGCACACCAACTACACCACCACCTTATCCTTCAAGTTTTTATTCAGCACCAACAGCGAGAACTAGTGTATCATCACTAATATCTCATCATCCACAACGTATGAGGAGAATGAGTTTAGATATAAGTATTGAAACTGGTTCACTAAATTACTCACCTGATGGGAAAATTGATAAACCGTCACCAATGCATCGGGCCGTTAGGGCAAGAAGAGCATCTCTTTTGGTATGTTTTATATTAATTTAATTCACATATTGTATAAATGTTTTCAAGTTTCAAAATCAGAAACTAATGTACTTATTTTATAGCCCAAAACTAAATCTTTTCAACGAGTTGCTAATGAACTTCAGGAAGAAGCACGTCCAATTGAAGCTGAAATTAAGCAAGAATATAAGACTACCAAAGTTCTTAAAAACGAATCAGATAATATTATGGATACTGGAAAGTTATCAGAGGTTGGTTTAATTGTTCACATAAATTTGAATAATAATAAAAAATAAAAAGTAATTTAATTTATTTTTGAAATAGGAATTCCTAAATAATTGGATAAAATTCCGTGATATTCAACCTTCACCGCCACCATATACTGCTTCGAGATTAAATCCAGAAATTGAACTTGCAGTATGTAAATGAGTTTCATTTTATTCTTGGGTAAATTTACAATCACTTATAATATCTTTTGTGTTGAATAAAGTTTCGTCAAGATACGCCTTCACCTACATCCTCTGTTGGCCCATGGCCGTCTTGTAGCCGTATAAAACGAAAAGGTAATAAACATAAATAAATATATGTCTAGCATTCATTATCTAATTTATTTGATTATTTAATTTATTTAACAAAAAATAGCATCAGATGATCGATTTGAACCATATTTCAATCCAAAACGACGAGCAGTTTCCCCAAGCTTAGTCGGCAGTCCTCCTATTGTCTCTGGACTTTCATCACCATCAGCCAATGGTTCACCATCTTATTCCTCATATGCAACTGGTTCACCCAGTAATGGGGGAGTAGGGGGGAATGGTTGTACACCAACATCAAGAGGACAAATCAAAAGTAATAGCGGTTTAGCAATTCTTCATGATGCTAATGGAAGTTTTAGTAGGATGAATTTAAATGGAGAGTAAATTCTTCGTGTAAATATAAATTGTGCTTAAATAATAAAACTCTATATTTTTTATTATTTCCAAATTGCACATGAATATCATGAAAGTCACATAAACCGTTTAAGTACAAGAACATGAACTGAGAAAATTCAATATCTGCCCATATCAGATATGAGCAACCTTTAAAGTCATGTACAAGAAAAGTTTCTTATGTATTAACAATTATGTGTTGAAAAACAGCTTTATAGTAATATTACATTATTTTTTCAATTTCTCTGTTAGCTCCGGAACAGCTTTGAATAAATCAGTAACAAGTCCGTAATCTGCGAGCTTTAAAAGCAAGATAAATTTAATAATATTATTCAATATAAAGGTTATATATTTGACATTTGAACAGATACCTGAAATATTGGTGCTTCAGGATCGGTATTTATTGCCACTATCGTTTTACTATCTTTCATTCCTGCTATATGTTGGATTGCACCACTAATACCGACAGCCACATATAACTCTATAATAATACAATGAATATTTTGTTGTATTAATAAATTTTCAACCAACCTAACAAACGAATGGAAACAGCATACCTGGAGCGACAACTTTTCCTGTTTGTCCAACCTAATGCGTGTAATCTTTATTAATGAAATTATCATAATTCCAGATAATTATCAAACGAGTATTAAATACCTGTAAAGCATTATCGCAATAACCTGAATCAACCGCAGCTCTTGATCCACCAACTAAAGAAAGAAAAAAATAAAAATAAATAAAAAATAAATAAATAAATAAAAAAGAAATAAAAAAGAAATAAAAGGTTTACCAGCAGCTCCAAGTGCATCAGCAAGACCATAAATCAATTCGTCGAAATTCTCACGGTTTTTCAATGCTCTACCCCCAGACACAACTTTTGTTGCACTTCCAAGTTCAGGTCGATCACCTTTTTGAAGATCTTCGCTGATCCATTCAGTAATGGTAGGTTTTTCAGCATCTGGTGCTGCTTCAATAGCAGCATTATCGCCAACAGTAATGGATGGAGGAAACGCGGTTCCTCTGACAGTAATAATTTTTGGAGAATCTTTTGACTTTACTTTAGAAATGGCATTTCCTATTAACAATCAAAAGTTTTTTCTTGCTATTAATTAAACATTGATCTTCTTGATCTTAGCTATTTGTTAATTAAGACATTTTATACCAGCATAAATCGGCCTTATGAAAGTGTCAGGAGATTCAATATCAATTATATCAGCAATTTGTGCAACGTCTAGTAAAGCAGCGACACGAGGCATAATATTTTTGCCAAATGCTGAATGAGGAGCTACCAAATGAGTAAAATTAAACTTTTTCTGAGCAGTAACCAGTAGCGGAGCATACACTTCCGCAAGACCATGTTCGTAAAGTTTGTGTTTGGCTATGAGTACCTTGGATATACCGGTGATCTTTGAAATTTCAGAAGCGACAGTGTCTGGTTCTTCACCTGCCACAAGGGCAGTTACCTCACCGCCTAATTTAGTAGCAGCAGTGAGAGAATTAAAGGTAGAGGAAGCGATTGTTTTACCACTACGCTCGACCAAAAGAAGTGTAGATATATCTTGAGCGCTTGCATAACCACGAGCGAAAAAACTAGAACGAAGCTAAGAAGACATGAATGCGAGAAATTAAATTCTAAAGCTTTGTATAACAAAACGTTTATAGGAAAAATTAGTTTAGTACCGCCGTTAATGAGTTTTTAGGGGTGGTTTGTAAAACTACTCTTTGTAAGGCAGATCGAAACATAATTTGATATGTTTTTTAGCGTTAATGTTAAAATTTTTCGTTATATGATGGGAGGACATTCGTATGATTGGCTAATAAATGCCGGATAACCGCAGGTCTCGCTCGAATCGAAAATTTGAATACCTAAACCCATAACCGTATCACCAAACTCGAAACCGAACCGGAACTTGTTTATTTGCGCATTGATGAAATACAAAGTTTCGCTGGTTTTTTAACAAAAAGCCGTTTCCATTAAAATAACATTTCGTAACAGATATCCAATACAATTTTTCGGTATCTTTCATGTATACATGTGATTTTTTTATACACCCATTCAAAAAAAATTATAATGTCGTTACATCATAACGACAATAATATCGTTTTACGTATCAATAAATTGAATTCCATTTATAAACATTCATTCATTCAAATGCCTAATTGAAGAAAAAAATAATTAATATGATAATATATCAGATATAGTCACTTTTTTATTTCTGTATTTATTTAACGATCTTAATAACAGATAATATAAGTGTTATACGCAAATTGTCGTAGACAGAAGGAAAATACCGTTACTAGGTGCGTAAATGACCAATAATTTATTCGTCAAGAACCGTCAGATGCTATTCGGCCGCCATCGCGACCGAATACATCAAACAAATCTTTGACGAATAATAACGCTATTTGGCAAAAATTTTGATGTTTCAGTTATTCGCCGCTACGCCAAGTATACTACGCGTCTAATAATAAATAAAAAGTCATTTTTTTTGATTTCAATTCTATATTAGTAACACTATTCAAAATTAGTTATTCTACTAAAATTTATATAGTAGAGTTCAAATATATATAAAAAGATAACCGACAAGTATTGAAGTTCCAATATAAAAGGTTTACAGTATATAAATTAAAATAGACAGGGGATCTTAATTGATGCTTTAGCTCTGCTTGATAGAGTCTTGATTCTTGAATGGAATAACACAGAAAACAATATTTCATTTAAAACTTTGTAATGTTTATTCACTAAAAGATAAAATAAATGATGTTTTAACATCTACTGAAGGTGAAATTTATTTCTAAACAGTAAATAATTGGTGCTTGAAGTATGAAGTAAAAACGTTCAGCATCCTAAAAAACTCTAGTCCCTAGTTAATTTAACCCTTAAAAATAATAATATATATATATATGAAGTTTTTCTAAAATACTGTACAGTATATAGTATATATATTTATTATAATAAAAACATATATATACCGGTAAATTTTATCCTATTTTTGAATACCGAGACACTACAGCACTAACTACAGTCGCATTCTTCTATAGTCACACCATCAGAAGCTTTACTAAAAAATGTTCTTATGAGAGAATGCGATTATATAGATCAAAAATAAATGTGCTTATCGTTATAAAAAATTTTCATATAATGTATTTATTAGGAAGTGCTTACCGCAAATAGTATTCTAGTATTCGGATCTCTTACATCCCTAAGCCTTATTTATTACTGTAATTAATACTGTAATTAATAGACTGAATTGATGTACTTTAACGAGGGAATACTATTTACCGAAAGTTACGGTATATGGAAGTGTACAGTACATCGCTCTAGGGACATTACGTATAACCAAATTAATTATGTCGCTCTAGGGATACGTAGTTATAACCAAATTAATTATGTACAATGATTAGACCTCAATAAACGGAAATTTTAAAGTTATTACTAATTACACAGGGATTAAAAATTCATAAGCACTAGCAAATAATTGAACGTACTTGTTTTAAAAAGATTTTAGAATCAAACTTTTATAGAAAATAATCAAACACAGTAGAATAATAAAAACAATAGAAATCGTTGTTTACTAACCACAATCCAGATGAGATGATTCCAATTACATTGACAGCTGACTTTTGATCGGTGAGAAATATCACCAAAGATCTTTACACAAAACAAAAGATCTAGGAAAATCGATTTCCTTAAGACCATATATTCTTAATATAAATTTATTATTTCTAAATTGGTAAGTTAAACCATTCTACGTACGTACGTACGTACCGTATATAGTAATAGACTAGTATAAGGTAGTATGTAGTGTAGCGATAGTATGAGACATATAGTACTTAGTTTGTTAGATATTTCTTTTCTAAGTTACTTTTTAAGTTTAGAACGTGTTGTAAAGAAATATAATCTGTTTTCTGTGTTGATCCTAATCTCACGTTGATCCCCCACAAAAACCAAAACGAAGTAATTCAATTCAAAAACCGATGACCGATGTGCATATGTTAACAAATCAGGCACACTAAAAGGCGTTTGAAATAGGGGCAGGAATGGGAAGTAGGATTCTATAGTTATACAAATTTGACCATTTATGCAATAATTACGTGGTTTATGGAAAGGGATTGATTAAGGAAAAATAATTTTATAAATACCCTTAGCATTAGTTAAAGATGTTTCATTTTGGAATTAAGAACTGGTTTTTCATGTTCAATTTCATAATTGTAAGCCTAAGTTCAATGTAAGTTTATGATTTCTAAATTTATGAAAATAAATATGTAATAAAAAATAAATTTGTTAATTCATTATTTCATCGTTAGTAGTAATTCCATTTGAAGGCATTTTCGTTTGCCGTGTGCTTGTCCAAATTTGAATATCTTGCAGCTAAGGTACGCCAGAGCTTATGCAAGTGGCTCGGGCCGCTATTTTTAACAATTTCGCTACGTATTGCTATATATTACTATTGTTAATTTATTTATTTTGCATGATTTTGTCAAGAAAAGGTTGAAAATTAAAACGTTTAGAGCTAACCATTCAAGGTAAAAAAATACTTTAAAAATAATTTAAATAAATCAGACATTAATCTTTCTTCGGCTATAATTTTAGTATCCCCAAAGTTAATCGACTTTGCTGGTGTTGTGAGGTAAATAATTACTATATATATATATACCAATACATTGTATATGTATATACAATTAATTGAATATGTTTTATCTAACTTTCGCTCGCGGTGACGTTATCGACGTTATTAATTATTTAGTTAATTTTATACGTAGAATATGAGCAATAATTTAATAGTCAATTTTATAGAATATGAGCAATAACTTCAATGCGTCTTTCTTAAACTATCGTATTAATATCACCTGGATTTTTTTTTTTTGTTTCTCTTTAAGAATTGTTGCGTATTTCTTGCATCCTTTCGATATCGAAAAAAAATGGACAAAAAACATTTCTTTGTGTATTTATGTGCTATATTTTCTGCATTTGGTAATAATAGTTTTAATACGTATCATATATAAGTTATCTTTTGCATTTTTAAAAAAATATTATTTATATGAACTTGTATCCAATTCTTACATAGGCGGATTCCTGTTCGGATATGACATTGGTGTGTAAAAAATTTTTTTGAGATAATATGTTGATAACTAAAATATGATCAAATTCTTATTCTTGTACCTTTTCTGATAATCACTATTTAAAAGGTGTCATATCTGGTGTACTTACCATGAGTCATTTTCGTGAACGATTTCCTTCTACTCCAGCAGTAGAAGGTACAATTGTATCCTCATTCTTGGCGGGTTGTTTTGTTGGTATGTTTATTCACTGTTTTCCATTTAGCTTTTATAGAATGCAATATTTTTTTTTTTTTACAATTATCGTTAACTAGGTGCTCTCGCATCGGGATATTTTGCTGATCGTTTTGGAAGAAGATTTTCTATTTTGGGTGGTTCTTTAATATTTGCAGTTGGTAGTGTTTTACAAGCCACCTCTGGCACGTTTGCTCAATTATATATAGGTAGAATTGTTTCTGGCATATCAATTGGGTATGTCAATATTGATATTTATCAGTATAATGATTCTTTTTTTTTTCGCGTTTCGCTTGACATAAAGTTCACTTCCATATTTTTTAGCATTCTATCAATGATGGTACCTCTGGTATGTCTAATGAATTAATTAGTATTTATAAAAAAAGGATATCGTTAACGCGTTTCTTTGTATTTGTTCACGTATCATAGTACCAATCTGAAATTAGTCCCAAAGAAATTCGTGGGCGCTTGGTTTCTCTTCAGCAATTTTCAATTACTATAGGGTAATTTATATTTATTACCTTTCAAAAATATAACTGATAAATTTGATAAATTTGATAACATTAAAACTATTGCCATCACGTGACTTTTAGAATTGCAGTTTCATTCTGGATCGATTATGGATCCGCGAAAATTGATTCTCATGCCCAATGGCAAATTCCTTTAGGGATTCAATGTGTTCCTGCTGTATTGCTTGGTAAAAGACTATCCATTATTTATATGCAGTTCATAGACGAATGCTCTTAAAATTAACTTTTTCAACATTTCACAAATCAAGCAATTGGAACAACAATCCTACCATTCTCTCCTCGATGGTTGTTAGATCACGATCGGGATGATGAAGCGCTTATAGTACTAGCCAAACTTCGTGCTAACGGTGACAAAAATGATCCTATTGTTATTGAAGAATATAATGAGATTAAGGAGAATGTTAGATTTGAACGCGAAATTGCTGCAAAGAGTTATTTTGAATTAATAAAAAAAGGACCAGAAAATATTCGCAAAAGAATCATACTTGGAATTGCTATTCAAGCATTCCAACAATTAACCGGAATTAATGCTATCATGGTATAATGTTTGTTCATGAGATTTGGCTCGATTAAATTTTAATGTTAGGTACGCCTAACTAGTATTTTCTTTTTTAGTATTATGCACCACAGATATTTACTAGTGCTGGTTTAGGCGATACTTCTTCATCGCTCCTTGCCACTGGTATAAATGGTGTGTATAACTTATCGATATTCAACTTTTAAACCATTTTAATAGCTTATATAATGAATAAACAAATATTAAATAAAAAAAAAAACAATCATATTTTTTCAAGGTATTGTAAATATGGTTGCTACAATTCCCGCTATACTCTGGATTGATACATGGGGTCGTAAACCTACTCTGTAAGATATTTATTAAATGCTTATTTCATTTACGCTTCCAACACTTAATTTGTTTTTTTGAAAAATCAATAGCACTTCTGGCGGAATATTGATGGGAATTTTCATGTTAATCGTTGGGATAATACTGGCTGTACATGGAACAGTATATTATGACTCAGCTATAGGAAAACATTCTTTGCATATAGATTCACCTGTTAGTTCTTATTCAGTTATAGTACTCATTTATTTGTTCGTAGCATCTTTTGCTTATTCTTGGGGACCGGTTTGTACATTTAAAACTATCATTATTATTATTTATCGGGTCTGGGTTAATTATTATTAATTCTCTATTTTTTTTTTTTTTTTTTTTTTTTAGGGCGGTTGGATTTATCCTGCAGAAATTTTTCCTTTACGGTAAGTGTTCAAACAACTTTGACGCGTCACTATCGCTGTAAGACTAATCATTTTTTACTCTCCGTTCTTATTAATTATAGTATTCGAGGAAAGGCACTATCAATAACAACTGCTTCCAATTGGCTTTTCAATTTTGTTATTGGACAGGTTGTTCCTATACTATTGGATAGGTGCCTATTTTATTATTGTTGCTTTAAAAAATAATTAATCAAATCTAACATGATATCTCTTCTTATATATCATTGAATGGCTAATAGCATTACATGGGGGTTAAGTTCTTTTATAGAATATTGCAGTTTATTTTTAGCAACCTTACATTTTATCTCACATTTTTACTTATCAATACAAATAGAACCTACATAATCTTTGGTATACTCTGTCTAATAATGGGTGTATCAATGTTTTTATTCTTTCCAGAAACAAAAGGCAAAACATTAGAAGAAATGGACAGCATATTTGGCAACGTAAAATCTGCACTACCAACACATACCGACTCAAGGCGAGCTGTTGAAAATACTGATGGTGGGACATCACCATCAAATGTTAAGCAGGAACCAAGCGAGATGAGAAAAATTGAACAAGCTACAGACATTGAGACTAAGGAGAGTAAACCCTCCGTTGGTATTGCTTTCCCTGGATAATTTTTTGTAATGAAATTAATGAATGAATAGTGATATTGTGTATTAAAATGAGTCATAGTCGTATTTATTTTATTCATTATTATCTTGCCCTTACTTTAGTTATTTATTTGCTATTAAGCAAAAGACTAAGAAAGTAGCACCTTTCTTTTTATGCATCTATTATGCATATAATATACTGTATAAATAATTATTAAACTTTCATATTTACCGTTATATACTTGAGATTAATTGCAATAATTATTATTATATTTATAAGATTTACTATAGCGCAAATCCTATACGTATTAAAAAAAAAATGCAATATTTATAACATATTATATAATGTATACTTGTTATACGTATGCATCTTAAATCTCAAACATGTTGCCTGTATTTATAAATCTTTTATTATCTTAAAATTTGAAAAATTTTATATAAAGGAAAGAAAGATTTCATAGTAGAGACACCTGCTAATTCTGGATTTATTTATATTCTAACTTTTTGATATTTACTATTCCTACTTTTATTAAATATCAAAGTATGCTTATCATTATTGGCCTTTGAAAGTGCTTGTTCTAATGCTTCTTTCTTAAAGTTTGCGCTATATCTTTTGATCCAATCTTTAATAGTCTTTACTAATAGTATTTTCTCAAATATAATTTTTTTATTTTTAGCCAAGTTTTTAAGATTAATATGCATTTCTTCAGATGAGTAATGATTTGCAGTTTTTAAATTACTTGCCAAAAAAAAAACCTTGCAAATACTTTTTTTGTTATATATTTTCTGGCACTCTTATTACCAAGTTTTAATATTTTCTTTTAAAGCCCATTTTGCTTTAAATAATCAATACTATATAAGACTAGTGGTTTAGTAAATAAAAAAATTGGATTATATAATATAATAAGAGTCTTGTTACCGCCACCCCCATTTTTGTTAATGGCACCCCAAATATAAAAAGTGCTCCGGAAGAGGTTTTCTATTAAGTAAATCCTTATTTTGACCTAAATAAAAGTTGTTCATCAGGTCTTTCCGGTTCTAATGGTAGTAAAATCATTAAAATTGGATCAGTAGTTTTTTTTAAAGTAAATAGAAGTTAACTAACTTCGAATATATATATATTAGGAACTACTGGACAGATTTTAATGATTTTACAGCCATTAGAACCGGAAAGGCCTGTTGAACAACTTTTATTAAGATCAAACCAAGGACTTACTTAATAAGAATACCTCTTCTGGAGCTAAGTAAATCCTTATTTTGATCTTAATTAAAGTTGTTTAGCAGGCCCTTCCAGTTCTAATGGTAGTAAAATCATTAAAATTTGGCTGGTAATTTTTTTTAAGTAAATAAAAGTTAACTAACTTCGAATATATATATGAGTAACGGAGAGGGAAAACCTGTAAGTAAAAATTAACATTATCACTAATATATATATAATATATATAAATTAGTGATAACATTAATTTTTACTTACAGAATTTTCTTTTTTGTCACTCATATCTTAGGAACTACTGGTCCGATTTTAATGATCTTACTACCATTGGAACCAAAAGGCCTAGTTTGAAGGATGTTTTATGACCCACTCCTTTGTAGAATACAAGACGCAAAATTAGGGTACAAAATGCAAGACAATTCTGTAGATGCTAACAGAAAAGCAGAATTTGAAAGCTTACAAATCAGAGTACTAGCATACACAGATGACACAATATGGGTAATATATGATCAAGAAAGTATGCAAGAAATAATAAACATATCAAACAAATTTTATGATTTAAATGATATTGAAATAAATTCAAACAAGACTAAGCTAGTGGTAGCAAAGCCTGGAAAAAAAAAAGTTGATGATAACTTATTTATATGGTGGGTAATCCAAAAACAAAGATCCTAGCCAAGGATTTAAAAGAAGCAACATGTTTTCTCAGAGTTTGGATTTCAATTAAGAACCAACAAAAATCAAATATATATAAAGCTAAGAAGGAAGTAAGCAGAATAACAGGCTTACTCAAGTATAAAAAAATGCTACTCAACCAAATAGTATATATAAACAATATGGTTCTTATATTTATACTTGAATATAAGCTTATGCTTTTATGTTTAACTAAAGTCCATTGCAACAGAATACATCAATCCATAGTCTTACAAAGTAGAAAATGTCAATGCTATCCGCAATAGCAAATGCAATAACAAAACACCTTTTTGGCACATTTTTGCCTAGCATATTGTGCTATGTCATAATAGTGTCTGCCACTTTTATGCTCATACTTATAAAATGTCTAGCATTTGTACCCATGCTTACATTAATGCCTTGGCACTTTTGTACCTTAGGCATGACACAGCATAAGGCACTAGTGCCTAGCCTAGTGCCAATATGCCTGGCATGCCTACTTGCAGAGCCCTACTAACAACTATATTCCAAATTAAAACTATTTGAAGTTAATTTTTCAGTTAACATCCCTTCTTCTCTCCTTTAATATTTCTTAGTAAAATGAACATATAAAAAAAGTAAAAATTAAAAAATATCATATAACTATGAAATAACACACTGAAGTGTAGTTTCAAATTTTGGCCTAAATTAAGCTTAATTTAAACCAAAATTTGAAATAACCCCCTATGCACAATTTTGTAGTTATATAGCAAATATAAAATAATATATAATTTAAAATAAAATAAAATAATTTAAAAAATAAAAGTAATCGATTAAAAATAAAAAAATAATTAAAAAAAAAAACAAGAAAAAAATAAATAATAAAAAATAAAGAAAAAATTTTAGTTTCTACTTGGCTGTTTTCTCATATATGTTTATTTCAGTTTGTAATAAATAGAGATGGGTACCATGCGTGCATGCATATAATTTTATACTAATATGCCTATATAACTATCTCAAACCAATTATTTGAATCAAAACTTTTTTGCATCAATTTTTAAGCCATCTGGCCTGGTGCCAATATACTTAGCATGCCCATTTGCAGAGCCCTACTTTCTTGATTGCAAATATTGCTGCACTACTATTCATTCTTATTTTGTAGGTGTTACTAATAGTGCTGCCAAGATTGCTACTAACTTTGCTCTAGTTAATGAAAACCACTTTTTAGTACTATATGCTATTTGTTATATAATCTGTCCTTCATTTAAAATTTGCACTATTCCACAACTCATCTTTATTTTTGTAGTACTCTCTGATGTTTCAAGTGAGCCATTTGTATAAAACACTAAACTATTTAGATTTTTTTCATTTTAAATTAGAATCTCTGTCTATCTATTTTTAAGAGTTCTATTTTTAAATATTTTACCGTATTTATTAAACCTATTTCCCAACTTATACAATCTACAAATAGTTCTTTTTTTTTTTAACTTCTTGTAGTTTTTTCACAATAACTATCATTTTCTCTATATTTTTTTTTATCTCTTAATTGGTAGAGATTTGCAGACAAATTTGCCTGTATAATTACTATAAATATGTCTCTGATTTACTTTTTTAATT